CTGAGGCGAGTGGTAGGCAGTGTTTGTATGTTGGTGAGAGGGGAGTCCAGTGTCCTGTTTGTTTGGATTCTGAAGCGAGTTGGATTCTGAGGCGAGGGGAGAGGCAGTGTCTGTTTGTTTGGATTCTGAGGCAGGTTGGATTTTGAAGTGAATGGGAGTCAGTGTTTGTTTGTTTGGATTCTGAGGCGAGAGGAGAGTCAGTGTCTGTTTGTTTGGAATCTGAGGCAGGCTGAATTCGGTGTTTGTTTGGATTCTGAGGCAGGTTGGATTTTGAAGTGAGTGGGAGTTCAGTGTTTTGTTTGCTGGATTCTGAGGCGAGTGGGAGGCAGTGTTTGTATGTTTGGATTTCTGAGGCGAGGGAGAGGCAGTGTCTGTTTGTTTGGATTCTGAGGCAGCTGGATTCTAGGCGAAGGGGGAGGCAGTGTCTGTTTGTTTGGAGTCTGAGGCAGGTTGGATTCTGAGGCGAGGGGGAGGCAGTGTTTGGTATGTTTTGGATTCTGGAAGGCAGGGGGAGCAAGTGGTTTGTTTGAGTCTGAGGCTTGGATTTCTGAGGCGAGGGGGAGGCAGTTGTTGTTGTTTTTTGAGGCATTGATTCTGAGGCGAGGAGGCAGTGCTGTTGCTTGATTCTGAGGCAGGTTGGATTCTAGGCGAGTGGGAGGCNCCTCCTCCTCCCCTCCCCCTCCTCTTCCTCTTCCTCCTCCTCACTCTGTCAGCTGAAAAAAGCAACAACAAAAACAACAGAAAGCCCTCCAGAAGAGCCGCTTCCCGCCCAAAGGCCTCTTCGAAGGCAACAGACGCGGAAGGAATCGTTGGCTCTGGCTTTGTCTTCGAGGTGTTCGTTATAGCGGAGGTATTCCTGTTCTTCCGAAAGGTTACTTGGTGGTCTGTGATATTTACGTGGTGTTTGTGATATTTGAGGGGGATGTTGTAGACAGGAGGAAAAGAAAGAGGGGGGAAAATGATGCAGGAATGTCAGCATCGAGGCGGTATCCTGGGCTGTAGATGGGACGTTTCTGATTTTTTTTTTTTCGTTTTTTTTTTTCTTTTTTTTTTGGTAACATCTGCAGGGCATTAAAGGAGAGCCACGCTTTGATTGAGAGAGGAGAGAAAAAAAGAGATTGCAGAGTGAGAGTAATTGAAAAGATGACAACCCAACTGCCGAAGAGAGAGCGAGAGAAGAAAAAAAAATTCCCGGGTTTAATTGCAATGGCGGAGAGAAAATTATCGCGCCAATCCTAACTTCGCGTCTTGTCCTACTTGTTCCTTACCTCGCTGTTCAATCAAGAGAAAAAAAAAGAAGGAGAAAAGAGAAGGAAAAAAATACAAGAGTTAGTTCCGAGGTTCCTTTCACCGTGCAGCGAAAGTCGACGGTTTATTTACCCAGCGGACGCCGAGGGGGCTTTCGGGGTGGTGGCAACTTTTTGTCCGCCTCGCCGCCGCCGCTGCTGCTGCTGCCCCGGCCTGCTGGTCGCTGTTCGAGGGTGACTCATAATCGGCACAGCTCGGGTCTCTTTACGTGCTCCGAGCTTGGTCTTCGCAAGGAAAAAAAGGGGGAAGGTAAAAAGACACACGAAAAAAAGGATGACCAAGACCAAGAATAAAAGAGCGATAAGGAAACATGGAAGAAATGCGTCTTACAAAATGGCAGAGCGAAGGGGAAGCGAAGAGGGTGGATGGGAACCCAGGAAGTTGCTCGTGCAAGAGACGAAGGGGAGATGAGGCAGAGGAAAATAATGAAAAGAGGAAGAGGAGGAGAAGATGCAAAAAGAGAAAGAGGCAGAATGTGAGTAACATCACGTGGAGGAGAAGGAGGAAGGGAGAACGGGGAGATAAAACAGAAAGAAGAAGAGGAAGAGAAGGAGGAGGGATCAATAACAGGAGGAGGACGAGGAAGATAGAACGGGGAGATAAAAGAGAAAGAATAAGGGAAATAAGAGGAAGAGGAAGAGGACTATTATTTTTATTTTTTCATTTTATTAGAATGAAAGAATCCTATTGTTTGCATTGCAGGTGAGAACCGAGATGCACGGATTCGAACACCTGTGCTGATGGCGCCCGGTGACGTCAGGAAAGTGTTTAAAAAGAGTTGTGATTAGAAGGAACAGGTGTGCAGGAGGTAAATGAAAGGAAAGGAAAAATATTAATGATGAAGTGAGGAAGGTGGAATTAATCTCTAATTTTGGATGGAGGAGAATAAAAAGGAAAATTGGATATGAAGGGAAACTATCACTGGATTGATTGATTGGAGGAGAGAGAAATAGAAAGATAGGAAAGGATGAGGAAATAAAACGGCGAAGATGCCGAGAAAGCGAACGGATGAGGGAAGTAGAGACAGAAGGCGAGAGAACTGGCTCGCTCGTCAAAAGTGAAAACGGTAGAAGTTAAGCCAAGGTAAAATTTGTGTTTGTGTATCCCATTAATTATTCTTCCTCCTCCTTCTACTACTACTTCTTCTTCTCCTTCTCCTCCTCCTTCTTCTTCTTCTTCTTCTTCTTCTCTT